TAGGATCATAAGAGTACCACACATATTGCAGCTGAAGTAACAGTGATGTATTCTGGGCAAGATAGCCTGACAGAGCCTAACCCTCTTCAGGCTGATTTGAATTCACAGTTTTCCTTTTCCTAAACTACTAATCACCCAATGTTATAGGATTCAGTCTGTCTTGCTATTTGCCCATACCTGGATGGGGAGAAAAAATGAATTTCCAAAGGAGTACTAGCATGTAAGTGAATGCAATGAACTCAACTCGTATTCTCAGTATCCTCCTGTAGAATCATACCTCTGTTGCTTCAAGTCTCCCCTTTATCTTTATGAAAATTTTTTAACGTTCACTGTCATCTTTGATCTTCAAAAATTTAAATTCAATGTCAATCATTATCTTCTGTCTTCTTAATTTCTGTTCTTTTATTGTCTTCTCTCCTTACTGTTAGTTTTTTCTCATTTTCTCTTTAACCTTGCTTGGGGTTAAATGATTAAAAAAAAAATGAAGAAAGATGTCTTGGAGAATTTGCGACATACTGAAGATGAAAGAAGAGGGAAATTGAGTAGCATACCTATTGAGCTTGTTTAAATGAATTAAGAGAGATATTAAGGGGATAAAAGGAAGTTGTGGAGAGCCGTTTCCGCTGATTTCCTGAATAGAGATGGCACATAAAAGTAGAGGAGCCTAAGATTAAATAAATTTTAACGTAGTTCCCCAGCAACATTTAATGAACTTCATAAATCTTTTTCTATATTTCTGCCACTGGTTTTAATACCATTATCTCTCTTCCTCAAATCTTAAAAGTCATTATTGACAAATTCCGAAGAATTTCTTTAATTTAATTACAATTTAAAAATGTAAGATTACTTCTTTTTTTTTAAATCTTAGCTTTTCGATTTTTTTTTTCCTTCAATCAACAACTGACTTGTAAGAAGTTATGTCGAGTCACTGTGAGTTACATTAAATCCACTTTACAGCAAAAAAAAAAAAATTACCGAAGAAAAATGCAATAAGTCATGCTCTGATTTTTCTAGATATTCTGTCATTTTAATTATCATGAACAATACAGATGCATTTACGGTCATATCTGATCTGAAAGAAAATTACCTTTTTATATCTTATACATTTACAAGTCCTCTATTCATCTATAGACTGACAGATCTGGTCTGGTGCTTCTGCTATATTTTAGAGATACTTGATAAAATCCAAAGAAGAATCTGCAATATTATTGACCTGGCAACTCAGATACAGTCACATTCCTCTCAGCCTAATATAGCTTCCCTCTGCCTTTTCTGTTAATATTTTCATGGTAATTGTTCTTATGAAATTTTGTGTATCATATCTAGACTTTACGTATTTAGGCACAATACTAGATTGGTGGCAAGGTTTTGTCATTTTAGAGTTAAAATGGCTGCTAGATGTAACTATAAGTTCTATGCTAACAGTTTCTTCCTCTATCACTCTTTTTCCTTGTGGAAATCTCTTTTGGCTTCTTGCTTTCCAGTCAAGTTTGATCTTCAAAAATTTAAATGCAATATCAATCATTATCTTCTCTCTTCTTAATTCCTGTTTTTTTTTATTGTTCTCTCTCCTTAATAATATTTTTCTTTTTCTCTTATTCTTTCACACTTAGTAACCTCCTCGTGTCTTATTGGCTTTATTGCCTTTCTTGGGTGAACTGTAAAAAAATGGATTTGAGTAATATAAGTCTGGATTACAAGTGATACAATTTGTATAGATACACACATACACACACAAACAAACAAACATATATATATATATATATATGTGTGTGTATATATATATATATATATATATATATATATATATATATATATATATATATATATAATTGTATATTTGGGAAGCAATCTCACTTTTATACAAGGAGAGTAACTACAAAACGTTCTTAATGAAACTTGCATATATATATATATATATATATATATACATATATATATAAATATATATATTTGGGCAACAATACTTCTTTTATGCATGTTTCATAAAAAATTATACACAAGGAATATCTTGAGAGATTATTATTTAATTTTTGCATTCCTTATGAGTTTTTCTTTTCTTGTGGAGAGAGGAATGGAATTTGAATTGGTTAAAGTATTAGTTGAAAGTGCTCAAGAAATCAAACCCTACCAATATATGCATATTGGGGTTACCACATATCAAGTTCTTTTAGATTAATGATTCCTTATTAACATTTTCTGATTTAGACCTCCAGTATTTTCAGTTTTGAATTGCATACAACCTTATAACTAATATTATTATTAGTAGTAGTTTCTGGGAAAAAATATATATAAGTTTTTATATGTCAAGAACAATTTTAGGAAAACTAATGACAAAGTGGAAAAAATTTTTTGTGTGTCATTTTGTTTTTTACAACTTCCTTGGTCTAAAGTGATATTTACATTGATGTGATTGAACATGCACATGACAGAGAATGGCCACTAAAATTTTAAATGATGAAATGTGTCACACAAATTTTTTTTTTTCCAATTTAATATAGGTATTCTTCAAATTGATTAGTTTCAAAGATTATGGCAAATGTTCCAACGAGTTACGTTCCTTAGTTCTAGCAGTTCAGACTTTCAGAGCTAGGGCCCGCCATGCCATATAGATGTCTGAAATCATTCCTATTTCTTTTCTATTGCTTTGGTAAGGAACAAGCTCTATTAAGAAAAATTCTTTGATAGAAATGACAAACTGTGAGACAGACCACTGTCTATCCTACATATCCTTCTCCTCTACTACACTCTTTTAACAATCTCATTCCATAAACATGGCTCTTTGGAATTGTATTGGGGGAATAATTGTAAAAAAATATCCAAGTGCCTATGTAACGAAAAATCATTTATTATTGTATAATATTAAGACTTAATTTGAAGATAAAGCATTAGAGTAAACATTAATAATAGCCACTCTGCTAATATAATAATAGCCACTCAGCAGATATAATAATAGCGACTCTGTAAATATAATAATAGCCACTCTGCAGATCTAGTAATAACCACTCTACAAATATAATAAAAGCAACTCTGCAGATATAATAATAGCAACTCTGTAAATATAATAATAGCCACTCTGCAGATCTAGTAATAACCACTCTACAAATATAATAAAAGCAACTCTGCAGATATAATAATAGCGACTCTGTAAATATAATAATAGCCACTCTGCAGATCTAGTAATAACCACTCTACAAATATAATAAAAGCAACTCTGCAGATATAATAATAGCAACTCTGTAAATATAATAATAGCCACTCTGCAGATCTAGTAATAACCACTCTACAAATATAATAAAAGCAACTCTGCAGATATAATAATAACTCTGTAAATATAATAATAGCCACTCTGCAGATCTAGTAATAACCACTCTACAAATATAATAAAAGCAACTCTGCAGATATAATAATAGCAACTCTGTAAATATAATAATAGCCACTCTGCAGATCTAGTAATAACCACTCTACAAACATAATAAAAGCAACTCTGCAGATATAATAATAGCAACTCTGTAAATATAATAATAGCCACTCTGCAGATCTAGTAATAACCACTCTACAAATATAATAAAAGCAACTCTGCAGATATAATAATAGCGACTCTGTAAATATAATAATAGCCACTCTGCAGATCTAGTACAAATATAATAAAACCAACTCTACAAATATAATAAAAACTCTGTAAATATAATAATAAAGATCTAGTAATTTCACTCTAAATATAATAATAGCAACTCTGCAGATCTGTAAATATAATAATAACTCCAGATCTAGTAATAACCACTCTACAAATATAATAAAAGCAACTCTGCAGATATAATAATAGCAACTCTGTAAATATAATAATAGCCACTCTGCAGATCTAGTAATAACCACTCTACAAATATAATAAAAGCAACTCTGCAGATATAATAATAGCAACTCTGTAAATATAATAATAGCCACTCTGCAGATCTAGTAATAACCACTCTACAAATATAATAAAAAAAGCAACTCTGCAGATATAATAATAGCAACTCTGTAAATATAATAATAGCCACTCTGCAGATCTAGTAATAACCACTCTACAAATATAATAAAAGCAACTCTGCAGATATAATAATAGCAACTCTGTAAATATAATAATAGCCACTCTGCTAATATAAAATAGCCACTCAGCAGATATAATAAAATCCACTATTCAAATATAATAATAGCCACTCTGCAGATCTAGTAATAACCACTCTGCAAATATAATAATAGCGACTCTGTAAATATAATAATAGCCACTCTGCAGATATAATAATATCCTCCCTACAGATATAATAATAATCACTCAGCAGAGTAATAATAATAATAATAATAATAGCCACTCTGTAAATAAAACAATAGACATTCTGCAGATATAATAAAAGCAACTTTGCAAATATAATAATAGCCATTCTGAAGATATAATAAAAATTGCCTTTTTCCAAGAGTAAGGAACCAATGATATATTATCAATGTTACTTTCTTTTATAAACCTGCCATTCAAAGATTTTCTTGCAATTTAGGCACTTGGTTGAAGGACACAAGACCTGTCATTCAACGGCCGATGGCAACAAACACTAACAAAAGCTTCTCTATGAAGAATTCTTGCCCATTCGAAATATCTATAGATTTTGGGATGATTTAATAAAGTCCCTGTCCCCTTTCTTACTAGAGCCAACATTAGCCTGATATAGTCTACAAGGGAAATTTCAGTATTCATTTAATAAGGAACGTTCTGTCTTTGATTTTAATATAAGGAAGGAGTGGCCATCGCAACCTGAGAAGATCTCATTCAGTCCCCTTCACTGCCTTTCTATGATATTACATTAATCCAATGAACAAATCAATTACGACTTCTTTCTTTTGGTGAACAGACAGTTTCTTCAATGTATAACTGTAAGTGATAGGATTTTACATTTCTTTCAATAAAATTCTTGTCAATAATAGTCGTTTTGTAATGATATATAATGTAAAATGATAGAACAATAAACCTAGTAACGGAAAGATATGAAAATAACTGATAGATAGATAGATAGATAGATAGATAGATAGATAGATAGATAGATAGATAGATAGATAGATGTTCACAAGATCTCATAGATAGGTATTGACAGGATGTAATAGATAGATAGATAGATAGATAGATAGATAGATAGATAGATAGATAGATAGATAGATAAGTAGATATTCACAGGATCTCATAGATAGATAGATAGATAGATAGATGTTCACAGGATCTCATAGATAGATATTGACAGAATGTAATAGATAGATAGATAGATAGATAGATAGATAGATAGATAGATAGATATTCACAGGATCTCATAGATAGATAGATAAATAGATAGATATTCACAGGATCTCATAGATAGATAGATAGATATTCACAGGATCTCATAGATAGATAGATAGATAGATAGATAGATGTTCACAGCATCTCATAGATATATATTGACAGAATGTAATAGATAGATAGATAGATAGGTGTTCACAAGATCTAATAGATAGATAGATAGTATTACAGCAGATTCAAAAGCACTCTTAAATCTGTTTCCTTCTTTTTATCTAGATCACATTTATCTCTGTACATACATATATATATATATATATATACCTATGTGTATGTGTTTGTGTCCAATATTTCAAGAAAGCTTAGGGCTCTATACATCCAGCCTGTCATCTCTGTACATTTCACCGCTCCTCCATCATCACAGGATTATTGTCCATTGTCTGTTTTTAGTTCTAGAAATTCCTGTGGGGGAATTTGATTTATCGTGAACAAAGTGTATACTAAAATACTGCTACTAAATAAGTCTTTAGCAGGTGTGTGTGATTACAGCTTTTCTCTATATGCCTGAGACATGGATAACCTATCAAAGGCATATTCTATCCCTGGAACATTTCTGGCAGCAGTGCTTAAAAGGTATTATAAAAATCTTATGGAGCTTCCATATACGAACCAGTTGTAGAAGTGTTGCAGTCCAGGATTATGAAATAGCATCTAAGATGGTCTGGTCATGTGGTTTGACTTGAGGACAAACAACTTCACAAACAGGCACTGCATGGTGAACAGAGCAAGTACTTGCAATGCAGGTGAGGAAAAAGGGATACAGATTGCCTGAAGCACACAATGAAGGAAGTCTATATTGATAGTGACACCTGGGAATATGTAGCATAAGACAGAAATCAGTGAATGAACCTGATTACTTCAGGCATTAACAGTTTTGAAAGATGCTGCAAAATATATGGCAGATGCAGAAATGGGATCAAAGCGATACTTGACATGAAAAAAATGTGCATGCCAGTTTCATCAGTCTCCAATGTCATCGCTCTACCAGGTATGACCAATACCAGTACAACATTCAGCTTGACTCTGATAGATAGGTAGATATTCACAGAATCTGATAGATAGATAGATAGATAGATAGATAGATAGATAGATATTAACAGAATGTGATCAGATAGATAGATAGATAGATAGATAACAGAAGATGATAGATAGATAGATACCAATAGATAGATAGATAGATAGATAGATAGATAGATAGATAGATATCATAGGATCTGATAGATAGATAGATAGATATCAGATAGATAGATAGATATTAACAGAATGTGATTAGATAGATATTAACATAGGATCTGATAGATAGATAGATAGATAGATAGATAGATAGATAGATAGATAGATATTAACAGAATGTGATCAGATAGATAGATAGATAGATAGATAGATAGATAGATAGATAGATAGATAGATACTAACTGAATGTGATCAGATAGATAGATAGATAGATAGATAGATAGATAGATATCCATAGGATCTGATAGATAGATAGATAGATAGATAGATAGATAGATAGATAGATAGATAGATAGATATTAACAGAATGTGATTAGATAGATATTAACTGAATGTGATCAGATAGATAGATAGATAGATAGATATTAACAGAATGGGATCAGATAGATAGATAGATAGATAGATAGATAGATAGATAGATAGATAGATATTCATAGGATCTGATAGATAGATAGATAGATAGATAGATAGATAGATAGATAGATATTCACATTTCCTCTAAAACATGTTTTCTAAAAGAAATTGGATGATATTCTCTCCCCAACTATGGGTTAATTAGTAGGAGTTGCATCATTATTACCTCCATGAAATTCTTACAATCTAGAAATATTTCTTGGCTTTAAAATAACCAGCAGAAGATTGACAAGTCATAAAAAACAAATTACACAATCTATCATGAACAGCCTAATTATTTATTCATGAACAGCCTATTATTTATTCATGAACAGCCTATTATTTATTCATGAACAGCCTAATTATTTAGAGATGTTAAAATAAAACAAGTTGGGAAATTCAACTAATTACAAGGTCAATCGCTATCTTCTATCTTCATGAAACTCATTCTTTTATTGTCCATTCTCCTCACATCTCATAATTTATCTTCCACTCTCAGTCACTTTCTATCACCGTGGCATTATTGCCTTGCTTGGAATAGAATGATTAAAAATAAAAATTAACATTTTCATTTTAATTCTCTTCTGTCAATCAAGTTTGACCTAATCTCCAAAGCAACATCAATAAATTTTAATTAACTATCCCTTGTATATCACTTACGTTCTCCTTTATTTTTAATAAGAAATTTTACAGAAACACAATAAAGTATCAGTATTAAACATAAAATAATTAATCATAATTTATTACATACATGTTTTTGTCTTTATTCAGTGGACAAATGAATTATCCATTAATCTGCCTCTAGGTTTTGAATTTCAGTGAAACTTTTGACAAAATCTCAATTATTTACAACCTTGCTCTGTTTCTGCTTTAAGCTTTGTAATGTGATAATTAAATTCCCCCCAAATTAAGTTAATTAAAACCCAAGTATGATTGATAAAAATTAATAATTAAACTAATTAATTGGTAAGATGATTCATCTCATCACAAATGAAGCCAAAAGACAAACGCATTTTGATTATCACACACAGTATGACAAAGAAATCTTTCTTGCTCCAAATGCAAGAATTAATCACAATAAAGGCATTTTCTGTTCACACTCTTTAGCCATCCCTTTTTTCAAGATAGCGAGTAACAACAATAATTCATCAATTACAAATCAATATATTGTAAGCTCATCTTCGGTAACATACCACCAGTCAATACTGTCCATTGTGAGATGCAATATATGGAAGGACACTTACACTTACCACAGAGAAAGAGACAGCTGAAAATTCTAGGGCAAACAATGAGGAAAGAGGGCTTAGAAAATTTGACACTCACAGGACATATTGAAGACAAGAGGGATAGTGGAAAGCAGAACTGAACTTATCTAATGAGCATGTGTAAATGGTTGGCAGAACAGGGAAAATTTACTAAGGGCTACAAAGGACAGGAAACTATGGAGAGCCATGAATGGACAAGACAACAAAGAAGAAAAAGAAGAATGTAATTGTACTGATGGTTGACAGAACAGGAATCAGGAGAGATACCAAAAAAGACTAAATTTACAAAGATCTACAAAGTACAGGAAATTGTGGAGAGCCATGATTGACCACATCCTGAATGGACAAGGCAACAAAGAAGAAGAAGAAGAATGTAATTGTGTGGATGGTTGGAAAAACAGGGATCAGGAGAGATAGCAAAAAAAGACAAAATTTACTAAGAGCTACAAAGGACAGGAAATTGTGGAGAGCCATGATTGACCACATCCTGAATGGACAAGGCAACAAAGAAGAAGAAGAATGTAATTGTGGATGGTTGGAAAAACAGGGATCAGGAGATAGCAAAAAAAAGACAAAATTTACTAAGAGCTACAAAGGACAGGAAATTGTGGAGAGCCATGATTGACCACATCCTGAATGGACAAGGCAACAAAGAAGAAGAAGAAGAATGTAATTGTGTGGATGGTTGGAAAAACAGGGATCAGAGAGATAGCAAAAAAAGACAAAATTTACTAAGAGCTACAAAGGACAGGGAAATTGTGGAGAGCCATGATTGACCACATCCTGAATGGACAAGGCAACAAAGAAGAAGAAGAAGAATGTAATTGTGTGGATGGTTGGAAAAACAGGGATCAGGAGAGATAAAAAAAAAAAGACAAAATTTACTAAGAGCTACAAAGGACAGGAAATTGTGGAGAGCCATGATTGACCACATCCTGAATGGACAAGGCAACAAAAGAAGAAGAAGAAGAATGTAATTGTGTGGATGGTTGGAAAAAACAGGGATCAGGAGAGATAGCAAAAAAAAGACAAAATTTACTAAGAGCTACAAAGGACAGGAAATTGTGGAGAGCCATGATTGACCACATCCTGAATGGACAAGGCAACAAAAGAAGAAGAAGAAGAATGTAATTGTGTGGATGGTTGGAAAAACAGGGATCAGGAGAGATAGCAAAAAAAAAAGACAAAATTTACTAAGAGCTACAAAGGACAGGAAATTGTGGAGAGCCATGATTGACCACATCCTGAATGGACAAGGCAAAAAGAAGAAGAAGAAGAATGTAATTGTGTGGATGGTTGGAAAAACAGGGATCAGGAGAGATAGCAAAAAAAGACAAAATTTACTAAGAGCTACAAAGGACAGGAAATTGTGGAGAGCCATGATTGACCACATCCTGAATGGACAAGGCAACAAAAGAAGAAGAAGAAGAATGTAATTGTGTGGATGGTTGGAAAAACAGGGATCAGGAGAGATAGCAAAAAAAGACAAAATTTACTAAGAGCTACAAAGGACAGGAAATTGTGGAGAGCCATGATTGACCACATCCTGAATGGACAAGGCAACAAAGAAGAAGAAGAAGAATGTAATTGTGTGGATGGTTGGAAAAACAGGGATCAGGAGAGATAGCAAAAAAAAGACAAAATTTACATGATTAAGAGCTACAAGGACAGGAAATTGTGGAGAGCCATGATTGACCACATCCTGAATGGACAAGGCAACAAAGAAGAAGAAGAAGAATGTAATTGTGTGGATGGTTGGAAAAACAGGGATCAGGAGAGATAGCAAAAAAAAAGACAAAATTTACTAAGAGCCACAAAGGACAGGAAATTGTGGAGAGCCATGATTGACCACATCCTGAATGGACAAGGCAACAAAGAAGAAGAAGAAGAATGTAATTGTGTGGATGGTTGGAAAAACAGGGATCAGGAGAGATAGCAAAAAAGACAAAATTTACTAAGAGCTACAAAGGACAGGAAATTGTGGAGAGCCATGATTGACCACATCCTGAATGGACAAGGCAACAAAGAAGAAGAAGAAGAATGTAATTGTGTGGATGGTTGGAAAAACAGGGATCAGGAGAGATAGCAAAAAAAAGACAAAAATTTACTAAGAGCTACAAAGGACAGGAAATTGTGGAGAGCCATGATTGACCACATCCTGAATGGACAAGGCAACAAAGAAGAAGAAGAAGAATGTAATTGTGTGGATGGTTGGAAAAACAGGGATCAGGAGAGATAGCAAAAAAAAGACAAAATTTACTAAGAGCTACAAAGGACAGGAAATTGTGGAGAGCCATGATTGACCACATCCTGAATGGACAAGGCAACAAAGAAGAAGAAGAAGAATGTAATTGTGTGGATGGTTGGAAAAACAGGGATCAGGAGAGATAGCAAAAAAAGACAAAATTTACTAAGAGCTACAAAGGACAGGAAATTGTGGAGAGCCATGATTGACCACATCCTGAATGGACAAGGCAACAAAGAAGAAGAAGAAGAATGTAATTGTGTGGATGGTTGGAAAAACAGGGATCAGGAGAGATAGCAAAAAAAGACAAAATTTACTAAGAGCTACAAAGGACAGGAAATTGTGGAGAGCCATGATTGACCACATCCTGAATGGACAAGGCAACAAAGAAGAAGAATGTAATTGTGTGGATGGTTGGAAAAAAAGGGATCAGGAGAGATAGCAAAAAAAAGACAAAATTTACTAAGAGCTACAAAGGACAGGAAATTGTGGAGAGCCATGATTGACCACATCCTGAATGGACAAGGCAACAAAAGAAGAAGAAGAAGAATGTAATTGTGTGGATGGTTGGAAAACAGGGATCAGGAGAGATAGCAAAAAAAGACAAAATTTACTAAGAGCTACAAAGGACAGGAAATTGTGGAGAGCCATGATTGACCACATCCTGAATGGACAAGGCAACAAAGAAGA